CATTTGTTGCCTGAGTGAGTTTATTGTTATAGGGCAGCTTAGGGGTCTCTCCTAGGGTCTTGTGGGCAGGGGCGGACTGACAACTCATGGGGCCCCCGGGCAATAGGGGATCATGGGGCCCTTGTGTCCTTTCCCGCACTCAAACCACACCCAAAAAAGCCTATGAAAGGTACCAGGGGCATTTCATGGGCCCACTACTGACCCCGTGCCCGAGCACCCAAATGGTCAGTCCGCCCCTGCTTGTGGGTGGATCCACACCCAGGTGTGCTGACATGCTGATGTTCCAGTAAAAGTGTCTTCATTGAACCCTATCCGGGGATTTCCCCTCACATCCTGTTCTTGACACACATTTATAGACAGGAAGTAAGACGAAATGTTCCTTCATTTCCTGTACTTTCTGAAACTCATTAAATAGACAGAAAATAAAGAAGAACTCTCCAAAACAGAGAGACAGACAGCAATAAATCTCACATAAATTATAATCCCCTTTATCATTCTATCTAAAAAAAGTTTTGGATTTATTTGGGTTTAATAGGTAATGGTAAAGGTTGTATATAAACGTTTTTTTTTTTTGCTCTTACTTCAATTGAAACTAGTTATTTTCTAAACAATTCCCAAATGGTAAAATGTTATTGTATGAAATCATAAGAGATGTGCTCCCAAATGGTACAAGATATGTTAAAAGCAGACCATTCAATGGCATAGAACTAAGATATAAAATAGGTGTGCTGCCAGGTATAAAATCCCCACATATACTGTATATTTTATATTAGACTTTCATGATGTTTCTCTGAAAGCTGCACCAATTTCAAAACTGATCAGACTTGAATGTCATAAAAAAAGATTTTATAATACATTCTCTGAATTTAAACAGGAATTGCAGGTAAATGCAATAATGTGTATATTTAATTTTTTCAAAGCTGTCATGTACTTGGAGGCTTGTAGTGAGATAAAGTTACCCTGTGTTCACTTTAAAACATCTAATCATATGCAGAGGAAGTTCTTAATTCTCACTATTTCCATACTTTTTGGATGTTTTAAGTAAACTTTCTTTTCACTTTACAATTTAGTAAATCTGACTTAAAGGGTTGTGAAATACTATACACATTGTTTGAAGAAAACCTGTCATGAACAAATATGCTGGCTGCCATTTCTAACCTCTTTCTAAAAATGTTATCTTTATAGGTTTTTCTGATATCAGTACCTGCTAACCCAGAAACACCTGAGTGTTCAATAGTGTGTAATAAGTGAAATCAGGCAAATGGAAGTATAAGAGCTGTTGGCTCAGTGGAAAAACCATGCAACTCACATTTTAGAAGAGGTTAGCAATAGCCCTGGCAATGAAAGGTTGTAAATGCTACAATTAAAATCTCAAAATAAAAAAGCTGTACTGCCACAATATATTATTATTTCAGGTACTTCTATCTATCTATCTATCTATCTATCTATCTATCTATCTATCTATCTATCTATCTATAGATATATATTACAGTATATACAGCACATATCCCAAGCCTTAACACATAAAAAGTTTCAGAACCACAGAAGCTTTAGACCAATATTTTCAGTTTGCATACAGTTTAAAGGTCAATAGTGAGCAATACATTTACTAACATGGACAAGACATGCGTCTTAGGCCAACAACAAATAAGCAAAAAAAAAGATTAAATACTGTAATGGGCAGCACTTCCGCCTGGCAGTACTAGGGTCGTTGGTTCGAAACCCAACCACGGCATCACCTGCCTGGAGTTTGCATGTTCTCCCTGTGCCTGCGTGGGTTTCCTCCGGGTACTCCGGTTTCCTCCTACACTCCAAAGAGATGCTGGTAGGTTAATTGGCTCCTGTCTAAATTGGCCCTAGTATGTGTATGTATGAATGTGAGTTAGGGACCTTAGATTGTACACCCCTTGAGGGTTAGGGACTGATGTGAATGTAATATATATGTAAAGCGCTGCGGAAATTGACGGCGCTATATAAGTACCTGAAATAAATAAATAAATAAAGGATGTGAAAAAACATTGAGCGCCTTAGTATGTGGCATCCTAAAGTCTTCATGAAGCATCTTTCTTCTTTTATACTGTAATGAGATTTATTTACTAAAACTGTAGCGTGCAAAATCTGGTGCAGCTCTGCATAGAAAGCAATCATGATTCCAAGTGCACCAGTTTTAGTAAATCTCGCCCAACATGTTTCCCTCTCCTGCAAGCAGCAATGAGTTGGCTTCCAAGTCCAATGGTTCTGCATTGTACGCGAGGTTGATGGTAAATTTAGGAATGAAGTAAAGCCAGTCATACATCATACATGGTTGGATTTGTTTGCCTTCATTCCTCCATCCACACAAACTAGGTGGATGGAGGATTCTCCCCCTCTGGGACATTCTGACAGCAGCACATGTAAACTGGACAGTGGCTGAAGCGTAGGGACTGGTTCAATGGCTGTCGAGCAGGGAAGACCATACACTGATCGAAATTCAGCTGGTCCCTGCTGGACTGGCCAAATTTTGATCAGTGTATGTCCAGCTTAAGTATTCCTCTTTTTTTTTTTTTATCTCCTAGACTAAATGAGAATTAGAGCCTTTCTATAGCAGGGACTACCAGAAGGCATTTTTGTCAGCAGACCGATGTTCTCCATAACAGTAAGTGAGTTTCCCTTTACAGACTGTTTTCTGCTCCTAGTCCACACATCTATTAATCGAGGTAAAAACCTCCATTCCACCCAAGTTACACACATACACATTAGAACAGGGAATGGAAGCATTCATAGATATCTGCTGCAGTTAGAGAATGAGCACATGGTTCAGACACCTCTAGATCAACATTTCAGATTTGGGTCAGTGATACTTAGAGCTCTGCTTTACAGCAAATCCAACATTACTGTATGTGAAATACATCAAATTCATTTTTAAAAAATTATTCGTAAGGGATGATAAAGCAGGAAAGTAGAGCAACTTGCAGAAGTAAAGTAATGACATTTTATATTTCATTATAAAGAATGTTTTGCGGTACCATAATTGAGTTTCAGAGCAATTAAAGCCTATGTTAAGTCATCTGCTGGGGAGATTCATCCCTTATTTTTTCTTGGTGACTACTGTCACCGAGACAGAAAGTATGCAGAAATCTTATATTTTAGAGTTGTCATGAGAATAAGAGGTGACAGAAAATCTTCCAATGGGGACAAATATTGGGAAATCTCTTCATTTTGGGGAGCTTTCCTATACGTTCCTGTTGCATCTCTAAGACAGGAAGTGAAGGGAAATCTTTCCATGAGGACATGGACAGTAAAAATTGCCTGACAGGGGTTTTACCCTTTCCTTATTTTATCAAAAACATACAGAAATGGCTATATATTTACTTTAATGATTTTTTTAAGTATACTTATTTATGAAGTGCATGTAGTATTGGATTTTCACAGATTTTACAGATTTTATTTTAAGCTCTTCTAAGAAGTGAGCAATAGAGCTGATTTACTACAGAAGTGGAGAATGTTCATTTAGAATAGTAAATGTTCTATTGTATCTAATTCCAAATATTTTAATTATGGGTAGAGTAGAGAAAGATTTGAACATGTGTCTGTATTTCAATCTGTGTCCCTATTGGAGAGGGTCACACTACCTCTTTGTCCTGGGACTGTTGTCATCAGGGCAGAAGATGATGGGAAACTCCAATTTTTACTAATGTAACTAGAATATGAGGTGAGAGGAAATCTTTCAGTGGGCACAATTGCCCCGTTGACAACAATCTAACAGGCTGATTACTAAAGGAGTTTAGGATCTTCACATAAAACATTCTTACCTGTAGAAGTGCCCGCACCCAACATTGCAAACACCTACACAGCAGCAGAGGGCCTAGTGGAAAGGAAGAGGATTGGAGACAGATAAAACTGTATGATTATTGTCTGCAAACCACAAAAGCAGAATGAGGTCTAATTTCCTGCAATAAAGCCAAACATGTTTACTACATCAATTTGCACATGAAATGGAACACCCAAAAGCAAATAGCAGCCACACATAAGGAACTTTTCTCTTTATATATTTATTATTAGGTTTGCAAAGAGTGGCTTTGTGTGGTTAACTGCCCTCTGGTTGCTAACATTTACTTTTCAAAAAGATCATAGACTGCTGATGGATTTCCACTGATATATCCATTATACTTTTCCATGTATTGTTGCCTAACCAAAGAACGCTCTTTCAATACGTAGGATGGATGGGCAGTCCACAAACAGCACCTCAAAGATTGGTTTCCACATCCTGGCTTTCTCAACTTCTGAGAATGGACGATTTCTGTTGTTAGCAGCAGTGATTTTTTTGGTTTATTTTGTTATTTTAATTGGAAACATTTTAATACTTATTTTAGTTTGTTTGGAGCCACAACTGCACACGTCCATGTACTTCTTCCTATCTAATCTATCAGTCTTGGACAATTTTTATGTCTCTACAACTCTTCCTAAACTGTTGTACATCACTAACACAGGTGACCATTATGTGTCTTACAATGACTGCATCACCCAACTGTTCTATTTTTTATTCTTTGCTGACACAGAGTCCTTCCTATTGGTCACAATGGCTATTGATCGTTATGTAGCCATATGCTTACCTCTCCATTATGCACTTATTATGAACAGAAAGGTGTGTGTCCTCCTAGCATTTCCTGCCTGGTTTGTGGCCATGGTCAATGCACTCCTTCTTACCTGTTTTGTACATGGGTTAACATTCATTGGGATCAAAGAAGTTGACAATTTCTTCTGTGATCTTAAAGCATTGATCACTGCCTCTTCCAGTGACAAAAATTTCCTGAGAAAATTTATTCTCGTAGATGATGTTCATTGGAGCTGTTCCAATGCTTTTGATTTTGACTTCTTATGCCTGCATTATTTCCACCATCCTTAAAATTAAATCTTCAGTAGGAAGAAAAAAAACATTCTCAAGCTGTACCTCCCATATCATTATTGTTGTAGTATACTATGGCTCAGCTCTGAGCTTGTACATGCAATATTCAGTGCAGCAAGACAAGGTTTTTGCAGTCATGTTTGTAACTTTGGTGCCCATGCTGAACCCAATAGTTTATAGCTTGCGGAATAAAGATATCACAAGGGCCTTACAGAGAGCTGTGAGCGGTTTCAAGACTATTCCTGAGACTTAAACTTGGGTGCTGCTGAGTTACTGGATGAGACGTCAGGTAGACATTGGAAATGAATGCTCCTGAATGTGCCACCTTCACTTTATATATATGTAAAATATTTACATATGATGTATAAGTGTGAATATTATTAAAATATTAATTTTACATAAATCAACTTGTTATTTGTATTTACTGATAGTTTATTGTTAAAACAAGCTTGTAAAATGCATGTAGGTATTCCACAGTTGGGGAACTATGAAATAACCACCCAAAATTAGTTCAATCCAGCAACAAAGATGAAACTTTTAGACTGAGATAAGGTAATTTCCTAATAGAACAGAGAATGGCCACAGAATGGCAGAAATGATGTTGCTTGACTATATTATATATTATATTATTATATATTATATAGATTATTATATACAAGGAGTTAAAAGTAAATAAAGACACTCACACCATCAAGGCAATTTACAAAGTTAGTCTGATTTTTCACAATTATTTAAAGTGTTACTAAATCCACAACAGTAAAATTGGTCTGTATATGCAGTAAAGCATGTTTTTTTATACTCACTGTGAAGCCTAAGGGGTTAATCCTCTGCATTGTGTAAAACGGTGACTGTTTGATCCTGACCACTTTGATCCTCCCCTTCTTCCAGTGCTCCCCTCTTACCTTCTGATAAGACATATCATGTAGAGTCACTCTGCACAAGCTCATTTTGGTGTGTATTGCTAGAGAGGTTTTGTTTTCTCTTGGGAGATTGTATGTTATCAGCACAGGGCCAATCAGCACTGTCCAGACAGAGTTCAGGGGTTCTACATTTTTCTAGAGCAAACTTAAAACTCCTCCTACAAGCTTTAACATGTGCTGTGCTGGACACTAGATAGAAGTCACAAGACTGCTCTAATTGCTGATGAGTAAAGGTATTTAGCAGTTTATATTTACTAAAATAAATAATATAGTGAATGCATGGTCCTGGTTTTAGTAACGCTTTATTTTTTTTATTTTAATGTTTAATTACTTTTAATTTAACAATTTTTTACAACGCTCTTGGGGGGGGGGTCTTTGGTGAATTGTTAGGGGTCTAAACAAACACCTGATGTCTAACTTTTGAGGCATAAAAAGGGACTTCTGAAACATTCCCTAATCCCTTTCTCTGTTGCCTCAGCTGCACTGCAGATGAATGAACAGGAGATAGAGGCTCCTGTTCATGCACACACTGAAGCATAGTAAATGCAGTTTACTATGCTTCAGTTATGCATGAATACAGTGAGTAATTAGTACCAATTACTCAATGTGTTTACTCCACATCCTGAAGATCCCCCTGTGTGTCTTCAACTGCTTCCAGAAGGAGAGAGAGAGGAGGGAAGCCAGAGGGAGGAAGGAGAGACCTTGGCACACGGGGGGGGGGGGGGGGGGTTAGGCAGCCAGGAAATCTGATAGTGATTAGTGCAGCAAGTGGGGGAAATAACTGCAACTGATATTTTGTGGCTCACCCTGCAGCAGCTGGAGCAGAAGATGTTTGCTTTCACCTTCTGCACTGATCACATGCCTTGTCCAGGGTCCTCATGCTATTTCCCCTTCTGGGGGGCTGTAGTGGTCCCCCATACACCTGGGGCCCCTAAACAGTGCCCAAGGGTGTCCAGTTGAAAAGATAGCCCTGTTGTTTGGGGGAACTAGAAGTCCCTTTATAATAAGGGATCCAAGATATCTGTTCTCCTTCCAGAGTAAAGAGTACAGGGCTATAACTATACCTACAAGAAGACCCACAATCTGATAATCTTAACCTGTCACTGCTACGAACCATTGATGATGTTTCCCTGACACACTCTCATTCCTTACTCTACTGAAAAATGTCACCCACAATATCACCTATATTTGCGAAAGAGGATCAATAGTCCTGGTAGAAACAAAGATATAAAATTTTCTCACATTCTGGAATACCTTTCATTAGTACGAGAATTTAGAGCTTAAAGCCTTGTAAAGATTACTGATTTTGAGAAATATTCGTTAATTACTCAAACTCAGGGCCACATACCTGAGCCTTTCTATGTGTGGGTGTTGAAAATGGCCTTAACAGATCTCTATTCAGTGAAAATATTCAAGGTCCTTCCTTCACCAGGAGAAAACAGAAGTATAAGAACCAATGAAAAATGTACAGCAAAGTAATATATCCAAATGGGCCATCTAAAGTTTGGATGGCCAGAAAAATAGCAACATTTGTTGCCTGAGTGAGTTTATTGTTATAGGGCAGCTTAGGGGTCTCTCCTAGGGTCTTGTGGGCAGGGGTAGACTGCCAACTCATGGGGACCCTGGGCAATAAGGGATCATGGGGCCCTTGTGTCCTCTCCCACACTCAAACCACACCCAAAAAAACCTATGAAAGGTACCAGGGGCATTTCATGGGCCCCCTACTGACCCCGGGCCGGAGCGCCTAAATGGTCAGTCCGCCCCTGCTTGTGGGTGGATTCACACCCAGGTGTGCTGACATGTTGATGTTCCAGTAAAAGTGTCTTCATTGAACCCTATCCGGGGATTTCCCCTCACATCCTGTTCTTGACACACATTTATAGACAGGAAGTAAGACGAAATGTTCCTTCACTTCCTGTACTTTCTGAGACATATTAAATAGACAGAAAATAAAGACTGGAAGGACTTTTCAAATACATGCACCCACAAGATGACACTATAAAACATATTATCGAAACAACAAAATAGCTGCAATTGACCAGTGAAGGGCAATAGTCATTACTCAAAAATAGAAATAAAAAATATTAATTATATTTAAAAATTACCACAAAAGTATGTACACCAGTGCTTAAACACAGTAAACACCAGATAAACCAAAATTACACCATCTTGTGACTGTATGTAGGTATAATGAAACTTCAGAAAGCCCACATGGTGTAAATATCATTCAATACAATGCTCATAAATAAAAATTGACAATAAAAATTAATACAGAAAAAAATAAAAGTTAACAAAAATTAACACAAATAAAAATATATAAATAAATATATTATAAATCAAATAGCAACAACATTTCTCTTCATATAAGTATATTAAATTATTAAAATTGTGTACAACATGGCAGAGAAAAAATAGAAATATATCCCAATATACTAATCAGAAAGCAACCCATAATTTGTTTGTTTTTTTGTAAATAACCAAAATTATATCTTAACTGTTATTGAAGAAAGAATGCATATCCCAATTAATGTTTAGGCCCCGTAGTTGATGGGTCTTAAGGTAAAAAATCCATTGTGTTTCCCGACATGAGATCTGCCTCTTCATACTACTTCCCCTCCAGTGAGGGGTGTATTTCTCTATACCTATAATCTGAAAGGCGGAGGGTTCTCTATTATGGTGTGAAGCAAAGTGTTTGGAAAGGCTATGGGATGGAAAACCCTTCTTAATGTTAGCTAGATGCTCCCCAATATGAACATTTAAAGATCTCATGGTCCTTCCCACATATTGGAGGCCAAAAGTACAACTTAAGAAATAAACCACCCCCTAAGTACTACACATGATGAAATCACAAATTGTGTAATTTTTGGAGGTGATATTAGATGCAAATGAGGAGGTACGAACATTCTGCATTTTTACACACCTTATACCTCTTACATGGATAAAAACCTTTAAGATTCTCAAACATTTTATTCTGAAGATGTTTCTCTACTAAATTAGGTGCTATAATATCTCTGAGAGTGTTTTCCTAAATATAACATGTGGCGGTGCTGGAAGTACTGAACCTAAGACGCTATTTTCCTTCAGGATATTCCAATACCTTCGCAGAACATTACTGTACCAACTGTGTTGAGACATAAGAGTCATGAGAAAGGCCCATTCATGCACTGACTGGGTGTCCTATCTGCCCTGTGTCCATGGTGTTTTGGATATTCTCTTCAAGGAAGGTTTTTGAGCATATCCCAAAAAGTGTGCCATTGTTTTACAGGAAGGTATTAAGGCTACGCCATTAATCAGGAAGTAGTAAAACCTCAGTTGAACAAAATAGAAACCATCTAAGAATGACCACTTTCCACAAACAAGAGACAAGTCAGAACATTCATAGGTATAATGGGTTACTATAAGAGGTTTATCCCAAATTTTGTAACTGGGGAAGCCCAATCGACAGACCTAACAAAAAGAAAAATTTCCTGCCCCGTTTCTTTTTTTTTTCACTGATTCTTTGAGGGCAGCCATGGTTGTCACCCAGGCTGGACTTAAAACATGCCTGCTATTATTCATCTACATTGCATGGTTGATTGCTGGAACTAGTAGCTCACTCCGGCAAGAGCAGCTGCGTTTCTATTAAGGCTAGTATGCTTACAAGCAGGGTTGATGTGGAAATAGGAATGCGGGGGAGGGGGGGAGGAGGGGCACATGCCCTGGGCACAGTATTGAGGGCGGCCATATTGGGAGATTTGGCCACTTGTCTCTTTCCTCACTGACAGGTGTGACTGCAGTGTCACTCCTGTCAGAAAGAGAATGGACCAATAACTGCTGGAGGGAATATTCTTCTCTGTCCTCCCTCCAATAGCAGCTGGCTGTGGGCAGAAGAAAGCACACCTCAGTCTCAGCACAGCTCCACAAGGGAGTGAGGACAGAGTGCCCTTCCTGTCTCTTCTTGTCATGAGATATGTCATATGATCAGAGATAGAAAGAAAGAGAAGATGCCTCCATTCCTGGTGGGTGTACCCCCACAGACCCCCTTGGCTCCTCCCTTCACACTTGCAGTAGCCTCCCTCTCTTTACACTTGCAGTAGCTCTCTGAAGGGTGATGCGCAGTAGATTGTTTTTCACTTTACACTTCCAGTTGCCTTCTGAAGGGTGATGCACAGAAGATTGTTTGTTAGACAGGTGGTGGGAAAACATTATGTGACCTATGCAGCAAGTTTTAACCCCTAAAATCCCGCACCACTGTGCCAAAACCACATGCATTGCATGCAATTGCTCTGTGGCCCCTTTCATATGAAAGGTTTGTGATCAGCAGGTAGTACTGCCTGTTGAAGATGACGTGGGG